AGCGTTTGTATTTCTATATCGTTGAAGTGTACGTTTGTTAGGTTGACTCTCGGATGGAATGTGTGGTGTTTTCTCATCGTTGTTGTGTTCTTATCTTGTTTCTGTATTGATGTGTTCAGTTTTTTGTTCAATTTTTGGTATGTGTTCTCCTTGAGTTGGTGGTTTTTCCTAGATATATCTGCGTATTTTTCATTCCACGTTTCAGCCGTTAGTAATTTCGCTAGGTGTAGATGTGTTTCGTATAATTGAGAAGGATATTCTTCTTCTTTTATGCTTCTTGTATTTCCTTTTGAATCCATGTAGTTTGGGCTTTTTCTATTGCTTTCTTTGCGCGTCTGTCTTGATGATCTTTTTGTTGAGTTTCTGGAATTCCTTCAGTAGTTTAGTAGTAGTTGCGTTACCTTGTGGGTTGGATATCATTTTGAATGATGCAAATAATTTTTCTTTTTTTTCAGTATTTTACTTATTTTACATCATTACCCTTAGCTTCTTGCTTAATTGATTTTGTAATTTTAAGAAAGAAAGCATAAACATAGCTTACAGAATGAATAATAGTCTAAGTAAATTAATTTACAACAATGAAGACAAAACGTTGGTGTCGGATAGATCAGAAGTNATGATTTCCTACCACGTAATAATGGCTACCTCCATCAATAAATTGAAAGATGACGAAGAATATCATGTTCCTGTACCTAAATCATAAAGTTTTCTTAATAAAGTCACTTCATCTGGAAACATTGTTTTTTAACGAATTTGGTTTTATAGAAAGCACTGAAACTTGGTTACTTTTATAAGTAATTTACAAATAGTTATCGACGGTGTTATCAAAACATCTTCTAAAATGGATGCACTTATTAAAACGAATTTCTTATGAACAGTGTGATCAAATCATTGCCAGAACTTTCAGAAAATTAAACCAAATGTATCCTGAATCAACATCAAGAAACGAGAGGAAATTTATAATGTTACAAGATAATTGCCTTGACTATGGCTCAAAGTTGAAAGCCCCTTCAACATTACCAAAACCACAGTACAGAAAAAAATTTGGGAGTATCACATGCTTCAGTACAACGAATTTTGAAAAATCACGAAATGCACCGTTATATATTTATAACTGTCGACAGTTGTATCGCCGAAAGCATATGCAGGAATAACTTCAGTGAAGAATCCTGCACTGACACCTGTCTAATATGATCCAACGCCCTTCGTGTTATTAGCCAGGGGAGTAGTTGTTGTCTGATAGGTATCAGTCCATTAACCTACAGTGTAGGGAGTTGAGACTGGCCTGAATAAATGGTTCCTTTAGATGATTTGATTTATAGCCAGTCTCCAAGTATGCCCACTCATTTTGTGATGGATTGCTTCTGTATACTAGTAGAGCTATGGTCAAAACAATGAATATTCAACTCTGCACCAAGTACAGTGAAATATTGAATTCGTAACGTTCATAAATTCCGAATGGATAAGTTATGTCTTCCCCGTTATGTGTTACAGACAATTCCAACTGTAAAATAATAAACTAACAGTTATTGTGTGATTTCAGCTATTGAATTGGCATGCGAAGAACACGGGAAAGATAAAATTGAGAAAATGATTAAAGCTAATGAAAATGGAAGGTCTCTAACATACTTCATTGATGAGCTTCCCCATATGGAATTGAAAGGTAAATATTCAGTTATCCACACTTAAGTGATTTCAATTACAGTTTTTTTTAAGATGATGGTTTCAAAAACGAATCTGATGACGGATTATTAGCAACATCCCAATTCAATCAGTTGAGAGTACTGTTGAGAAGGGGATACATCAAAGCCAAAAGAGATCAGGTGGGTGTATTGTTTGTCGGATGTATTTCATCATTTTCCAAACCAATGATAGATTTCGAAGATCCCTTTCATGAAACAATAACTCTGTGAAAAGATGAAAACAATAGCGTAAGAGCTGATGAGGAATTCGGAGATCTTTTAAGCAAATTCGGATTAACTAAGATATAGTGCATACGTTTAATTGAAAAAATATTTTTTATATGATTATTTTCCTCAAAGCGATGAAATAATGTAAAAAGTGAAGGCTAGGCCATCAAAACAGAGTTTTACAGCTATGGACCGCTTCTTCCCAACAACGATAGAACTGATAGCCATGCAATTTACATCTGGATACCGTAAATGACTCTCAGGGCCTACTTATACTTGTACATCGTTCTCATAATTCCAGTCACTGTCTCGTTCAAACAACAATAGCTGTCAAATATGTAAATATGATTGTAACTAAATATTGAAACTTTGGTTAAATCCTTGTACATAAATTCCAGAAATGGGTATTATGATTATGACCCTAACTCTACTGAGACAACTCAAATGAATATATAAATCAAATTAAAATTAATAATACAATGAACATACAAGATACCGAAATAAAAATGATTTGCCACACTTCACTTATTCACATAACCTCACGAAAATGAGACAATTCTTCAACTCAACCCCGTTGAATACCAGTAATTTATATATGATATTCAGAAATAATGGAAACTTATTGGTATAATAAGACATTTTTGATACGAATAGAAAAATCATTCTGAAGTATCAATTTCACTGAAATCGAAAACAAGACGTATACAGTTAATGCATTTAGCCGCGTCAAGTAAGTCGGGTGACTCGGATGCCGGCTCAAAGGTCTCATATCAAAGCACAATAGATTTATTTCTACAATGAAATCCTATTGTTGAAAAATACGAGTTTAGTTATTTACATACTCTTCATATATTCGAACGTTGTGTCTTTGATGATTGTACTTAACAAACAATTTTTTTTGTTAATTTCCAGTTATTCAGATATTCAGAAATTGATTTCATTTGAGAATTGATGTTTATATATCGATCCATTCAGGAAAAATAATATTTACCANTCCCTATCCACCGATTGAGAAATGTTGTATCGAGGTATTGCCGGACATTAACTTGGTAATACGATGGTGCTCCATTCTGCTGCAACCATATCGCATTCACTGGAACTTGAAGGTTTCGTGGATCAGGATATGAATTTGCTGAACTTGGAATGACATAATTTTGAAATGGTGCCAAAAAATTATCGCCATTCAAGTTATCCTCAATAAAAAAGGACCAATCATATGGTTTTCTACAATATCTGTCCAAACATTAACCTTTTGAGGATATTGCGTGTGATCTTCTCTCATCTAGTGAAGATTTTCCGTTGACCAGTAGCGGCAATTTTGACGAATACCATGACCGTTAAGGGACAAAGTACACTCATCAGAAAGTATAACGTCTTCTAATTGGATGATAGTGTTATCCAATATGTCCATCATTTGCTCACAAAAATAAGTTCTTCTATCAAAATCGCCTTCTATAAGCTCCTGAGTAGGTATCATTTTAACGTGTTAGGAATCACACGTTAAAAAGTAAGACCTTGTTAGTACTTGACTCGCACAAGTTTCTCAACTTCTGAGAGTTGTCGTTCGTACGGGGGCGACAGCTGATTAACGGAAAAACAGATTTTAAACAGATTTTTTAAACAGACAGATTTTATTTTTTGATGTATATGGGTTTTCCTCAAACTCAAGCATCACATCTAATTTCAGTTCATCACTCATTTCATTGGCAGCTGCTTTTTTTATCTGCCCCACAGACCAAGCTCGCAAAACTGCTTCTCTATTTTGCTTATTGTTCCTTAAAAATGAATAGAAAATTTCTCATGAAATACGCGAGCTACTTCCTGTTGTGTTCGGGTTTTACCAGTAACCAATCATCTGCAAAACTGTTATTTTATGCATTTCCGTTAATCTAACCATTTGTTAGACTTGAAGTTAACGAACTTTAAACTCGAATTAAAATACTGACAACTAATGTTGTAACATACAAAACAAGTTGACAAGGCGTTTTAAACTAACGTTGCCACGGAAATTATTTACAGTTTTTTAAAGGATACCATCTAAAAAGAACATTGCTATGGTTTTTGCTTACTTTCTTATTATCAATACCTCAACATGAAATAAGTTTTGAGTATATTGCAATAAGTTTTGAGTGTATTTTATCGAATTTCGGTAAACACATGATTTTAATTTATTTTATCTTAATTGTTGCAATAAAATTGAAAACGATAACATTTTTGAATAGAGAATGGAGAGACCTTTCAAACGATATATCACAAGCCTATACTTCCTATTTAAAAAATTGGAGGGAGTACCTGTCAATCGAAGGGGGTTGAAGGTTGGGGTAGCAGTTTTAAATTTGATGTGTTTCGGAATTTTGTTGAAATATGTACCGTAACCGAAATAATGAATTTAATCCATTTGGCTTTTACACACTGTATATGTATTTCAAAATGAACTGTGGTTTAGTGATTACGTTTGATATTTGAGAACATATTTTATAGCAGGTAAATTCTCAAGGCTTACTTGTGATTGAAATTAATTGAAACACAAAGGTAAGGTTATGAATTTGCCCATCTCTGATTGGCCTCAAAGGTAGTGAAATATGAATCAGATGAAACTTTGTTATTTTTGAGCTATACCAATCAAGCAACCAGCAATAGATAAAACGACTTGTCCTGCGGATTCGTGGTTTTATCATGCTGGTTGCTCATGATATGGCTGAATAATAAAGTTTTCCTTATAAATTGGAAATTTATTAATGAAATTTTGGTATTTTGCTTTTATAGTATCACTTTCGAAAAGACCAATTCAGTGGCAGTCTTTACCATTGCAAGGCCTCGGCAGCAGATATTGAATTGATATATTTACGAAAAGTCGTAAATAGGTTGTGATATTGAACAAATCAGATTACTTTGAGAAACCTGATAATTCAACTGAGAACAGTCCTGAAATGAATTCACAAGGAACCAATTGTCTACGATAGTATCAGAAGTGAAAAACACACTCAAGAAGTGTCAAAATTGATCACACCGACTTTGAACAGGAGTCTAGAGGTTTCTTATATACAGTTCCTAAAATATGCGGACTACAAAAAATAACAAATCTGTCAATCTGTAAGGAACAGAATTTCTTCCAGTTCCAGTTCAACTGTTTTTGCTGACAGCACAAAGAAAAGCATGGCAATGGAAAACCACTGTCTCCCTTTATAGCTAATCTGTTCATGGACATATTTAAATTGAAAGCAAAATAACGAGGAGTTACCATACTTGGGTGTTCTAGTGATTAGAAGTAACGAGGGTTTAGAATTTGATTGCTATAGAAAGAATACTAGAATATATTACACATCATATATTACAATATTTCCCACATCATTGTTCAGAACACAAAATAGCTGATCTTTCTTGTACAAAGTCTTGGGTGAAAAAAGATACGATATTGAGAAAAATGTACCTAATCATAAATATAGCTGAAAGCAACGGGTATCCTTCAAATATACTAGATATGTTATTTAGGAAACGTGAATTCAGGGAGAATCTTTGACTTTTCGTAAATACATCAATTCAAAGTCCATTGTCCTTCGATATGAACCAAAATACACTAACGGATTGGATCAAATTCTTAAAAAGGTGAACGTAAAAGTAACCTTCAAAATTTCCCACTTCAATCCTAAAGACACTATGATGGAACTTTTGCCAAACAGAATAAAAGAAAGAAAATAAATATTTTGAGATGAAATCTCGAGAAATTATTCTCTCCCAACTTACCTACACAGTAGGTTCTGGTGACTATTCAGTAGGTTCTGGTATCTATACAGTAGGTTCTGGTCGGGTCTTTCCTGCACTGATGAGAGGTAATACCTTGAAACCGGTCTGTAGTTGATCAACTCGATTGACTTCAGCATGGTCCTGCTAATGGATGAACGAGAAACATCTGCAAGACGAACCTCTGTGAGGTATCTTGCATAAATGTCTGTCGGATGTATTTAATGTCTAGAGTGGTATTTGCTGGGGAAGTAATTGTTTTTTGGCAGGCATTTACCAGAACCTACTGTGTAGGTAAGTTGGTAAGTTCTTATATGTATGTATCTCTCCTCGATACAGTCTTCAGACTTGTTTTGATTTCTGTCAGAATTGAACTGAATAATTCTCCTTCATTAAATTTGTTTTCAGATTGTGAAAATAGTAATTGAATGATGTTTTTTAAATAAAGTTGGTAGGATAACCAAAACAGTTTTTACATGTATTACCAAATCCAGAGAATCTGCGCACTCCCTGACAAAGTATGTACTAGAACGAAAGAGGATGGAAAATGACCCTCGCCGGAAAGTATAACCTCCGCACACTGTACTGCTGATGTGCTGATGTCTGCACTGATTATTATTGCAACTGGGTGCTCTTATCGTCTTCAAACGCGTATCTAGTGAGCAGAACCATATCAGAACTCAAAAATCTCTTCCTACCTTTGACAAGCTTCACATTTGATGAATTTGATTCTAGACTGATTCAAGATATTGGTTATCTAGTTGTTGATGAAAGTTACTATATTCCAATTATTGATACACCCACACAAGGTATTTCCTAATTGTCATGAAAAAATTATATGTGGATCACGATAATGAAATTATTGATGAGGTTGAATGTTCTAAAATATCAGATTTCTTTAACATTGGGCAGTTAATTTAAATGACTTTTCCTTTGAATGGCTTAGCTCTGGTTGACTTAAAAGTATTACTGAAAGCTAATAAAGGTTCCCTTTTTCTACGAAAACCCATCTGTTTTGGTAGTCAATATTTAACGAAAAATAATATGTCCAACTTATTACATTGTCATGAATACATCTGATGTGACTGAATTTAATTAAGTGTCTCATTTCATTTAAGAATTTCGTCATTATAAGAAACGTTCTTTTACTTTTCAGACTTTGACATATTTACGGGTTTTAGTGAATTTTCTTGTGAGTGCAATGTTGGGAGTTCTGTATTGGAAGTCAGGTTCTGATGGCAGCCGAATTCTGGATAACTATAATTTGCTGTTTGCCATCCTGATGCATCACATGTTTTCTTCAATGATGCTGACAATTCTGACCGGTAAGAATATAACTACCGCTTATAACTGCGACGACAAATTTTCCATCCCCTAAAATGAATGCATTCATGAATTAAGGGATGCATGCATCTATTTTTCCATTCTTTTCTGAATAGTAAGTGAATAGTCACAGTTACTTCGATGATGAATAGAATTTGGAACCTGTGACGTGAAATGAATCTAATCAAAACACTATTCCGCCGCCATAACAAATGTGCTGCCTCTTGTGGATAATGTATTTACTGTTTTCAACACGAATAGGGGTAATCTAAGGGATTTTGTGACTTGCCTCAACAACAGATACCCAAATATGAGGTTTACGTATGAAATTGGAAACACCTAACGGATATTCTAGAAATAGAAAACGCAGATAAGGGTTTGGAATTTGATGTACTCGTATATAGGAAGAATACTAGCACTTTCGAATATATTGTCTACAACAAAAAATGGCGGACCTGCATTTTCTTGTCCATAGGCTGGTTACGTTCCCTCGAGCGAAGAAAAATATGATATCGAGAAGAAAGTTATCAAGGAGACAGCTGAAAGTAACGGGTATTCTTTAAACATAGTAGATAAGTTGATTAGATATAGAAAATATTGGTTGAGATTTTTGAAAAATTTAATATGAAAGTGGCTTTCATAACTGCTCGTACACTCCAGCATGTGTTGGGCAACCTGAATGACAAGACGACGGAAAAGATAAAGTCTAGGATTTACGAAATATGTTGCGAGAATTGCGATAAAAAGTATGTTGATCAATTTAAGAGGACCATAATAGCTTGCTATGGAGAACGTGTTTCACATATTCGGTTTCATAGACCAGCTAAGTCCAGTATTGCTCAGCACGCTATAGAGAACAGCCACAGAAAAATTGAAGAATACTTGAAACTATTGAAACCCTCACACGAAAATACATGCTTTAGAAAATTGAGAAACCGAAAAATTTAGAATGAAATTATCTAAAAAAACAATTCGTTCAGTCCAGTCTTAAATCACCTACACTGTAGGTTAATGGACTGATACCTATCAGAAAACAACTACTCCCCTGGCTAATACCACGAAGGGCCTTGGATTATATCCGAAAGGTGTCAGTGCAGGATTCTTCACTGAAGTTATTCCTGCATATGCTGTTGGCGATACAACTGCCGTAATCGATTTTCAATTATTGGAACACACTTGCAGACCGGTTTCGGGCTGCTTGGCCACTCGTCAGTGCAAGGTAGTGTCTGTCATCAACATAAGGTCGATGATATCCGATAATTGAAAATCGAAAACCTTCAAGAGTATCATTCCTCGAACTAGGCAGAAGCGAACGACAAACAAAAAGTTTGTCATTGCCTCATATGTCTGTGAACGAGGTAACCGACCGCATATCCGAAATTTGCCCTATTGCTCGTATAAGGAAGAAAACTGCACAATAATTGAAAATTAATTCCGGAAGTTGTATCGCTAAAATCATATGCAGAAATAACTTCAGTAAAGTATCCTGCACTGACACCTGTCGGATATAAACTGACACCTCTCGGATATAATTCAACGCCTGTCGTGGTATTAGCCAGGGGACTAGTTGTTTTCTGTTAGGTGTAAGCCCATCAACCTACATTGTAGGTAATTTGAGACTGGCCTGAACGAATTGTTCTTTTACATAATTAGTTGATTTACAGCTACTCTCCAAGTATGCCCACTCAATTTGTAAAGTTTTCTTCCTTATACGAAGAATTGTGCAATCGTTAGCGAAACGGGCGTCGAGAGACAGCATTTTTGTTCTGGTGAGAGGAAAGTATTTTCAACAGAGTCACTTTTAAGTAAGTAGGGTTAAATTGAATTTTTTTCGTTAACCAGTTGTCATCATCATTATTAGCATCAATATAATTACAACAGATCGAACAAGTTAAATAAAAGAGTACTAATAAAAAAGTACGTTGGGGGACTCAATACTTCTCACCATGTTTTTGGGTATATACCTCACCTTTCACAATCTGAGAAATAAACAAAGATAAATCAATAGAGAATCTGCTGAAGGGCAAACTGAAAAGTTCTCCACAGAAAGTCAGTCTTTTATTGTATTCATAAATTTTGCCTACAAAATGAATAAAAATCAATTGAAAAAAAATTGTTTAATTTACTTCAAAACTTTTGCCTCAAATTGTAAATACCTTCAATTTTTATGACATACGTCAAATTTGATTTATACCCAAAAAAACAGTAAGAAATATTCCTGTTCCTATTTTGATTATCAAAGTGAAAAAATAGATGAGAAGAAATTAACGAAAATACATCGTGATCCATTCGATAATAATATGCAGATATATTTTGTCCGTTATTTTGCACTATTCAAAAAAATTGTTCGAGCTGATTATTGAAAGAATTTCCGTTTTGTTCATTGCCCTATATACATCAGAAAATAAAAGTACAATTGGAGCAAAGATGTCTATTTTCAGTACCTCAGGAAATGTCGATTTTAATCAAGGAACACTTCAACAGATGGTATTCACTGAAAATGTACTATACTGCCATAACTCTAGTGGATATACCATTATCAGTAAGTAATTTTCACTTACTTTTACTCTTCATTCAAAATTACTATACTGTATTGAATGGGCAAGAACAGCCCTCTTCATTCAGATGCCAATCAAGACGTTTTTTTCCTGTCATCATTAACTAGCCTCTAGGTGCTCCTAAAATGTTATGATAGTTAACAGCTGTTTCTCTTTCTATTTCTATGTGAAAAAAGTATCTGAATGATCTATACAATCTAAAATGTTGTTATTGATATCTTCTGATTATTATTATTATTGTTTTTATCTATTTATATATCAATATATTGATAACTTTCGATAATTATTATTGTTTTCCTCTATTTATATATTAAGGAAGTGGTTGAAACAATTTTTTTCCGAAAAATAAAAGAATTGAAATCACAGAGTGAAATCACATAGAAATTTCATAATAGAAAAACTGTATGCGTTTTCAGTAGTTTAATTCATAGGCAGCATCTACTTTGATAATCACTGAACTTTCTCATGTAAGGTTGCCGCCAATTATTTCCAAATTTACTTTTCCCAATTCAGAGAAAAAAATTAATTCAGTATTAAATACCTATATAACATTTTTCTCCAAACAATGTATTTCAGTTGTTCGATTGTAGTGCATGATTTCCCACGTAGAAAAATTAATATTTTTTGGTTACTTTTTGATTACGGATAGTAATGGTAATTAGTATTTTGAGTATTTGGAAAAAGTATGATTATATTTGGCGAAAGTGATCTTTGATCAATTCTGAAAGACATTAAATTTTACAATTTACTGCAATTTTCAAGCAGGGCTGTCACTATAAATATGTTTTTGGTTACGAAGCTAAGAATTTTTTAACTTTGAAGGTACTTTTTCCCAACTTTGGATTATTAAATTAACACACATTTAAAATAAAGTTGTTTGATTCTTGTATCACGTTTTGTGCTCTCCACTCCACGCACAACTTTGACACTTGCTTGCACTCGACTCCCCGCTTCCCTCTCCATTCAGGCTTCCCTGCGCATTGCAAACTGCTTACTTCACATTTCCCTACTCACTTGTGTTCGTAATCTCCCTCTTCTGCTCTCCATGAATGATCACTCTCTTCGAATTGGGAAATGTTCTAGTTGAAGTTCAACAAGTTGGGAAATTTAAGCCTTATTCAGTTCATAGCCTGATTTTCTATTAATTTTTCATCTCTTGATTTGGAATTAATGATAGTGTATCTGTTACAGATTGTTTGTTCCTTAGTTTTTTCAATAACAATATACTGCATAACGGCACAACCTTATGAAATGATAAGATTCATGATGTTCTTCGTTTCATCACTAATGGTTGTCTTCGTCGCTCAAAGTTTTGGTTTGATGATTGGAATATATTTCAACGTTGTGGTGAGTACCAATACAAGCCTAAATATCTGCAATTTCAATAAAGTTTCAGTGAAAATTACGTGATTAACATTTATAGTGTATCATACTTATATAAAAAAGAACTAGGAAGACATTCTTCACATTACATATCCATTCTAATCTTTACTCACCAAGAAAATGTTTATTCTCAAAAAGATTGTAACTGATGAAATATATTTACCTGAATAGCTTTCAGAATTATTGACATAATTAAAATATTTTTCAAGAAATATTATTGGATATCAAACAACTGCAAATATGCTATTTTCAATATATAAAATCCAGTCCAGCTGCAGCTGCTGGAGCAGTCCAGCTGCTGGAAAATAATTCCATGAAAATCAAAAGATAAATAAATAAGTAGTCAAGTAAATCAAGTACGGCTCTTTGTTTTTACATTTTGTGTTCGATCGAGGAATTGGCCTATACTTGATGAAAATCCGTAATTAACGTATTCAAAAAGCAAACTTCATTTTGAGATTTTCACTAAACGATTTTACAAAAACGCAACACGTGTTTCGCCATATAATGGCTTCTTCGGGCGTGTCTTTACTAACTGATTCTATATATTCAATGCTGAATATACCTTATTCTACAATTTGAAGTAACTACATTTCAAATATCTGATTTTTACCTGAGTTTGTACTGAATTAAATTACCTGGCCTTATGTCCCAGTTTCCACGTTTGAAAAAATATTAAGTAACGGGAAGTTATTCAATTCTAATTCTTCATTCAGTAAATCACCCGAATTCCTGAATCTATTGATTTTTAAACATTCTGGAAGGTTGAGTTTCAAACTCTTCTCTCGTAAATGTAACACATCGTATTCATGATTGAACTCATGTCCTTCTGCTAAAAAGTGGTTTGCAAATGTGAAATTGGTCTTTTTATTTACAAAACTACTTCTATCATCTTTAATTCTTTGGGAAAATGTTCTCCCAGCTTATATACTCCTGATCTATCCGACACCGAAGTTTTGTCTTTATTGTTTTTAATAAATTTACTTAGACTATTATTCGATCTCTAAGCTACGTTCACGCATTCTTTCGTCAAAAAACGGCCAATATTATTGGTTGGTTCACCCAAATGTGACAATGTTCTATAACTGACGTTATCGCATTTTGAATTTGGGTAGACCAGGTCCATAATCCAAATACATTAAATTCAGTCTAATAGAGAAATTAAAATTGCAAAATCAATTAGGCAGATAGCTGAGCTCAATCAAGTGATTTTTACGAGAGCAGATAAAGGTCGAACGGTTACTGCATTACATAAAAATGACTATGTAGGAAAAACTCTAGATTTTCTCAATTCAGGGAGATTCTGAGGAGTGACCCTACAACTATATACCAGAAAAATGTCAAGGAAACCTTCAAAACAATAGGATTGGCTATGAATGGAAAAGATAAATGTAGAGCATTGATCATGAATCCACAATCACCAAAACTGTATTCTTTTATTAAATTACACACAACCAATTTCCGATTAGACCTGTGGAGTCGTTTGTAACGGCACCTACCGTAAAAATCTCAGAAATCCTCAAAAAATTGATTCAAACCTATACCAATTTCAAGCCGAAAATTAGTATAAATAATTCTTGTCAATTAGTGGATAATATTAAAAACGTAATTCTTCCTGATAACGCAAAATTAATATCGTTGTCCAAAATTTATTTCCCAGTTGAAACAATTGGGCTGGTTTAGTGTCTCTTAGACAAAAACCATGTTAATCCACTGATAAAACAGAAAATTTCAGATCTACTTACTATTTGTCTATCTCAAAATTATTTCCAGTTTGACGAAAAATTTTATTCGTGCAGTGAAGGACTTATAAAGTGGAACCCTTTGAATTCCTTACTGGCGGAAATTTTCATGGATAACATAGAGTATGAAATACATAATAATCAGTTAACTAACAGTTTCGTGTACTGGTACAGATACGTAGATGATATCTTATTCCATCCACCCGTCAATAAAATTCACCATTGAGAGGGTGCTGAATAATTCAATAAATTACCTTGACTTAACCATTACGAAAAATAACAATAATCATGAACTTGCAATTTTCCACAAACCATCGTACAAGGACATTATTAAACATAATTCCTCCACACACCCTTATCAGCATGAAGTTGCTGTATTCAATATATACTTCACATACTATTGAATATTCCATTGCCTGAGAGTAATTTCAAGAGAGAGCTGAGTTTGATCAAACCAATCGCGGTTAACAACGGTTATAAGGTAGATATTATTGACTCCATTCTTTCTAAAAAAACTACAAAAGCAAGCCATGGACCTGGTCTACTCAAATTCAAGATGTGACAACGTCAGTTATAGGACATTGTCATATTTGGGTGAACCAACCAATAATATTGCCCTTTTTTAAAGAAAGAATGCGTAAACGTAGCTTACAGAACGAATAGTCCAAGTAAATTTATTAAAAACAATAAAGACAAAACTTCGGTGTCGGATAGATCAGGAGTATATAAGCTGACTTGTGGCTCTTGCCCGACACTGTAAACTGGCCAAACAGGAAGAACATTTTCCCAAAGAATTAAAGACCATAGAAGCAGTTTTGTAAATAGAGGGTGGGTGTATTTAATACCCTGCGTCTATGATGAAGCATCTCCCTAAAATGTGTCACAGAAGACCTGCTTACCGAGCCACATACTTATGTTGCTACCTTACCTGAAGGAAGTCGCAGACTGACCGCCAATCAGGTATAGATTGAGTAAAATGGACCAAGGTCTATCAACCTTGCCTTTAATTGTTTTGGTAACTAAATATTTTACTTCTTACCACTTACTTCAACACCAGTTCCAAATTCCAGAACAAGGAGGATATTCCCAAAATTTCAGAAAGAGACCAAATAATATTAAAAACTACCTCTGAACATCAGAAGAATTGCTCTTTGTGATTAACATTTTCAATCGAAAAGAAATGAAAGTAAAATCTTTCGAATCACTTTTCCTGTTAATTCCCTGTCATTAGATCTATTCAGAATTTTTCTATTTTCAGAACGGAACATTCATGGGCCCAGCGATATCAGTACCTATAATGATGTTTGCCGGTTTCGGCGTCCGATTGTGTGATCTTTCTCCATATTTCTACTGGTGTAGTTACTTTTCCTATCTTCGTTTCGCTTTGGAGGGCATGGTAGAAGCGGTCTACGGATTGAACAGAACTACTTTAGAATGCCCGGAAGATGAGTTTTGTCGATATAAGTATCCCAAAGAGTTTTTAGAAGCAATTGGTGTGCGCGCAGATCAATTCGGCAATGATGTTATAGCTTTATTAATATTCTTGTTCGTGTTCAGGATCAGCTCCTTTGTGATTCTCAGGTATAAATTGATGGCTATACGGTAGAATTGTAGATAGAAGGAAAGCTTGGAAAATGTTGAGCTGGGTCAACAGCGGGTTTTCCGGGTAGAGAGTTAGTATAGATAAAAGCAAGCAAACTGGAGATATTAAATATCAGAATTACCCAAACGGAGACGTCCATAACTCAAGACCTATCAGGATTACCCCCATATGTGTCATGCGATTTATTGTAGTTTTTGAAATGGAAATTTCCGAAGTTTCTATGAGAATTTTTGGAAGGATCGACTTCAATATATCACAAATTTTTTTGAGAGAAGTTTTTTTCGATAATTTTTTGATTACATGGTCCTTATGATTTGTTCTTTCTTGCATGAAATAAGTAGTTCCCTGATATCAGAATAAGGTACGATATCGATGAATCTACATTCAAACAAGGCAGAATTAAATTCTCAACTTCGAATTCGATGAAACTGATGAAAGTCATTATTTGAAATCTGTGTTCAGAGGTAAGACAGTAGAAATTTTCAAAGATACTTATTTATAATGGCTTATTTTGCTTTTTCTATCACTAATTTACATAGAAAATACGTTACATGATTGAAAAGCATGAAAATATAACCAAAAATACTTGACCAATACTATCCAAAATTTTTTCAGTATTAAAATTGCTCTCAGATAAGTTATTTAAAAAACATCATTTAAAATGTTATACAAGCCGGTTAAGACTTTGAGAACTCTCGGTGTCTTTGAAGAGGTGGATCGTGTTTTTAAAATATCTCAAAAATATGATAATTCTTTCTTAGATCCTCAGTAACTGAAAAATGATGGCATCCAAAAGAGTAATATAATGAAGATTGAGAATGAGCGTAAAAATTGTAAGGCTATCAATATCAAACTGAATTTGTAATCATTGTTGAATTTTTTCACCGACACCGAAGTAAAATTTTGAGTTCAGTAACTATTTCGTTATTTACACTATTTGTTATATTATCTTAGTCAGACTTTCTAAAAATGAAAGACTACCTCTGAATATTTTCACTTCGGTACCTTTGCCTAACAGCAAATAACAGTTATTAGCGTTACCTTTTCCGCAGTGTTTTTGAAATTGCCTAGAAGCTAATCAATATTCTAATATTCTGAATCGAACGATGTTCGATTCAGAAATGACAATTTTACTCTTCTTGTTCGAACAAGTGTTTTTTAATATGTACTTACTTCATTGTGAATTCAGTAATGATTATGTTATGGTAGAACTATGAATTCATGAAGATTATGTTATAAAAAAAAGTCTTCTTGAAAAACTTAAAAAAATATGTAAACAGGTCTGACCGAAAATTCTCATAGAAACATTGAAAAATTCCAAAACGCGCTCAACATACATGAGTGTAATCTGATAGGTCCTGAGATGCCCCATCTAAGAAAAAATGGGATGTCCCCATTTGGGCCACCCTGTGGGTTATATAATATATCATACTTCAGTGCCAATTAAACTTTATTTGATTTTTTGATGGCTGTGTAAAGATTGAAGATGGCATAATTCAAACACTTTCAATTGGACAGTAAGAAACTTTTCATAAATTTTATTTAATATTGCAATAATTTATAATGTCATATTTGAAAGAAGTGTATTGAAATGTGTCACTGCTCTATGCTCTTGGTATCAGTTATAGGTAATTATGAAAAATCATTCTCTCACAATTTTCATTGAGGAAAAGTAATGTTTTTCAAAAAGCTTTCTTGAAACATTTTTTTTGTACAATCCAAAAGTTATTACGAATGAGAATTGTGGAACACTGATGTTACAGTAGATGGAAAATTCAACTCTTCGATTCATCCATTTTTACTGAATGACATAGATGAGTTTATTTTCAATTGAATTCGCTTCATTTTTGACACTAATCACTGAAATATAACACGTTTGGTTTATAAATCAAATTTGTATTACACTGAGAAAAGAACGATTCATGAACAAATTCAATATATTCAAGTGATCAGTGTTGAAAAGAAGCAGCTAACGTGATTGTAAGAATTCAGCCACGTTGGTGTCTACATCTCTATTTCAAATATATCGTCCTATATAGTTTCAATAGTTACCTTACAATATGTTTATACCCAGTTCATTTGTATTTTCTTTCAATAGGCCAAACAATATTTTTATTACTGAACATTATATTTTTATCATCTATGGATTAGAAACATGGATTTACTAAAATTTCAATTTTAACTTGTTGAATGAAGACGGGAAAACTTCAACTTTCAAAATTGTATTTTTATAGCAGAAATAAAGATGTTCTTTGAAGAACATTTGAAAAACAAATCACGATTCAATGCAATGCAAAGACAATAAAAATGTTTACTTGACAAAATAAGTTTTTTTTATATGGAAAATTTGGTAATATTTACCAAAAAACTAAATGATTGTGTTTATTGTAATCTTGTATAATGCTGAAATTTCTATTGATCATTGAGTAATTTTGATATATTCAATATAAATTATTTATTATTGTGAATCATATTATTAGTATAGCGTTCTAATTTAAGCATGATTTGTTAACGGTTTCTTTTCAAAAATCTGTTGTTCAATATAGAATACATGTTTTGAGAAGGTTTTTATTTTTCTGGCTCTCAACTAGGACCAATGCATTATATCAAGTAAAAAAATGGGAAACTTCAATTAAAATGATTATAGAAAATGTTTGTAATTCAGAATTGTTGCAGAAAATGGTTTTTATTCAAATTTGAATAAGCTATCCTATTTAGAAAGAAAAACTAATTGAAAAAATCAAATTCAATAATCCATGAATATTACTGGAGTTTTTGTCCCAACACCAAATTGTTATTTTCAACACCTCGACACGTGTTTCGATCACCAAGTGATCATCTTCAAAGAGGAAGTGAGATTTTCCATTTTTGTAGTTATTTATTTGATGGTGATCAGATAGCTTTTTTTATCATTTTGTAAAATTTCAAGACGGTGTTGCTATCCTAATTTTGAAATATTGTATGTAATGAATATTATAAAATATTTTGTGAATATTTTGTACAAAATAATTGACTTTGTTTTTTATATTTGTCAAATGCAATGGGGAATGTTCCCTCTGACGAAAATCAAGTAGTTTTCATAAAAGAGCTCTAAAACAACGCATTTTAAACTTATTTCAACCTTTTTCTTTGAAAAATTATTTAAATACTTAAAAAAAAGAAATGAAATAATGCATTCAACATTTAAAAGAATTCATTTCTATTTCACCATTTGGCAACATCGCTAATAAAGGACAAGGCACATTTTGCACATTTTGTGCACTTAACCTATCTTCCTCTATATAAATAAATAACAAAACAACTGTTGTTTATGTGGCTTGTGGAGGTGGTATTGAACTATAATTCATATTTTTCCTCAATTGTTGATTTATGAAGATAATTTTCCTTTTTTAAAGTAGAATATCTAGGTAACCTGAACTCCGACCTAACATTCTAGGTGCTGTTGCCAATATGTGAATTGAAACAAATTTCTTTAAAAATTAAAACCCAACATTTGAAACATCAATTTGAATACTTTTCGAAGTGAATTTGAAAAACTCATGAATCAAACTCAATTTTATTTTGTTTAAACTTGCATTTGCTGTATTAACCCAAATTGAGGAACATTCCCCATTGGGAGAATATCGATAGGAAATTATGATTAGAAAATATTTTGTACATATATTTCAATATCAACAATGCAATTACTTTTGTCGTAATTAATAAATATTTAAACAAAAGGATTTACTTGATTTTTACTGTCATATAAGGGCGTTATTAGGTGAAAATCATTCTGTGCTTCTCTCCAACCTTTAATGTTCTTCACAAATAATGTGTTCCTACTTTTTGAATCAAAGTATCTGCGGTTCAGCGGAGTTACTCACCAATGGAAACTGTATGAAGAA